GTCATATTCACATGCTGAAGTTATATTCATATAGAATATATTCATATGGTGATAGAATTGTTTTTGAACTCATTTCTGCTTCTGACGTTTCTGACATTCCTTTCAATTATAAAACAATTCTTGCCTATACATCAAATGATTGTTCATTAGAATGAAACATTAAAATAAGTCGATATCCTTTTCAGACAACCTTTATTCATCCATCCATCTGTTCAATGAATTTGCTTTATTAGTTTTATATTACACACTCCTGACAAGTGATGTCTCATTCTCAAATCATATCTAAAATATTTTTTTCAAACTTAAGGAACTCCTCCCAGACCTGGCTCATTCACCATGCAGAAAAACCCATCAGAAACAACTTGCTGCCCAGTCTGAACTACATACATTATTCAGTCAAGTACATACATATAACACACACGTGGTTTTGGTTACATAGCATCTGTCCAAACTAAGCAAAGGGTGAAAGCGTGTCTCTCCTGGTCTGCTTCAAGCTGCTGAGAATCAAAACCGCTTTCTTACCTGACTGCGTCATGGAGTTCTAGGTCTGAGTACTCCCTGCCCACGCTCATCTTCCAGGCTCCACAAACATTAACTTCACTTTGTGTGACTCCAGACATGGAAACGGAGTTGGAGGCAAAGAAGGCAGGCTTTCTGGAATGGCCGCTGGGGCTGACCACGTAAAGCTTTATTTCCTAAAAGCCTCCATTTTTCTTTTTGAACAGTCCTTGGTCAGCGGGCTTTTTTTCCAGGGTTAACCTTCATTTAGGCAGTGGGGTTTATAGGATGTTTTTCACCTGTTGAGAACTGAGAGCTCGTGGCGCAGTATGTAGGGGGTGTCTTCACCTGGAAGAACTTGCCACAGGAATGGGAATGGGTGAAGTCAGTCTCTAAAGAAACAGTGCACTCACTGGCTGCTCTCTGGGCGAGGGTAATCTTTGAAGGGCTTACGAAGCAGAACGGGGCTTCAGAAATGGCAGAGAGTGTGTGTGCAAAGGAAGAGAAGAATCATTGCTGTGTTTCCTAAGGACCTTTGTCAGAGCAAATGCCATGTGCTGGGGAGCAGCAATTTCAAAAGAGTTGACTGACAAGCCTTGTCTTGAAGGTCCCCTGGGAATTAGACACAAAAAGCGAAGCTGTAAGTCTGTAGTAAGACAGTTTCAGCACTGCTGGGTGGGGAGCAGGACCCGTGAGCGGATTCTAACAGAAAAGGAGGAGAGGAGCGGTTGAAGGACAAGTGTAAACATTCCAGGAGCTAAGGAGGGGTCTGACATTTCACCCAGGCACACACACAAGGACAGGGTGCCGTACGTCATTTCTCCTGTGCTCATGGCTGCCTCAACCATCACAGGTACCACACAGCTCCTGCTACCGGATCCTGTGACTAAGTCATAGCTATTGGGCTGGAAGATGACTCAGCAGTTAAGAACCACATTGTTCTTGAGGAAGACCCTTGCAGGGAGGTTTGCGCCACCTGTAAACCCAAAGTAATGGGATCCAATGACCGTCTCTGATCTCCAGGGGCACCTTCACTCATATCCACACAGACACACATACACACAGTTAAAAATGAAATCATTTCTCTGGCATGCAGAGTACTTGCATTTTTAATTATGTGTATACATCTTCCAGAAAACTTGTATTCTCTGAAGACAGGAGCCTGCTGAAAACCAGCTGTGCTTTTGTGCAGAGCACCCAGCCGGTACCCAGAGAGTGGTTAGGGCACTCAGGACTTAATGACTATCAATAGCTCACTGTGAAATGCCAGTGAATCTGAACTCTTTTGGGGAAGCAGAAAAATTACCAATTAGAACCGACACAATGAAGTATACCATGCTGATTGGCAATCAGGATCTTAGGTAACTCTGACTTCCTTGTTCTGTGCTGGAATTTTATGTTTTCATATTAACATCAAAATAGAGGATCTTTAGGTGTGGGGGAGTGCATACCTTTAATCCCAGTACTGGAGAGGAAGAGACAGGTAAGTTTTGAATTTGAGGTCAGTTGAACAGAGGAAGTTCCTGGGCAACCAGGTCTACGCATAGAAAGACCCTGTCTCAAAAGGGAAGAAAGAGAGAGAGAGAGAGAGAGAGAGAGAGAGAGAGAGAGAGAAGGAAGGAAGAGAGGAAGGAAAGAAGGGCAAGGAAGGAAGGAAGGAAGGGAAAAAGAATTGTGGATCCTTGAAATTCTGTTAATATTCAGTAAATTAAAGTCATGAATGAAGAAAAACTTTTGAATATACATTAATAGTGTCAACTTTTCAAATTAATATTTTGTAGGATAAATTCATGAATTATTTTCCAAACATTAAATGAAGTAGCCTGTTTCATAATATTACAATGAAATGCCCAAGGCAATTAACTTTTAAGAGACAAAGTTTATTGTGCTCACCCTTTGGAAATTCAAAGACCTTCATGACTCAGTTTTGTTTTTGTTTTTTTTTTTATTTTTAGGTTTTCTTTTTTGTTGTTGTTGATTTTTAATGAGCTGTACAATTTTTCTCTGCTCCCCTCCCTGCCTCTCCCCTCCCCTTGTCAACCCTTTCCCAAGTCACTGATGAGTCCAATGGAGACAGGTCTTGATTCCATCTCAGGGAGGCAACAACAGACCCTAGCGTTCTCCAGACTAAATCGCTAGAGAAACAAGACACCCTCTTATTCCAGTCACCTCCTGAAATAGTCTTGCATCCTACATCTGATGATCTCATGGTCTTAAATAACATTCTAAAATATTAGGTCTTTACCAATAGACAACATTTAAACACAGTTTGTTTCCATAGTGCCGTGCCCATTACTGTGTGTGTGTGTGTGTGTGTGTGTGTGTGTGTGTGTCTATGTGTATGTGTACATGCGTGTTTGTTTCTCTGTCTCTGTCCATGCAGGCACACATGAGCCCACATAAGTCAGAGAACACATGTAGGAGTCAGTTTTCTCTCTCTCTCTCTCTCTCTCTCTCTCTCACTCTCTCTCCCTCTCTCTCTCTCTCTCTCTCTCTCTCATTTGAGTTCTAGGGATTGAACTTAGGCCATCAGATTTAGCAAGTGCCTTTACCTGCTGAGCCACCTCACTGGCCCCACCAAAACTTTTAACAGATGTTCTTGATTTGAAAGTAAAAAGCTACAAGCTGTGGTATTTTTCAGACTGTGAATGCCAGAGGGGTCACCATGTTTTCATCTGGACAATACAAGCATCACTAAAAAAAAAAAAAAAAAAAAAAAAATGGTTTTCAGGGGCTGGAGATGCGGCTCAGTCAGTAAAGTGCTTTCCTTGAAAATGTGAGTTTGAAGCCCAGATTATTAAATACTTTACATTACAAAGTTCACAATGTTTCAGAATCAAGATTGCTTATTACTGAGCATAGAAATGTCGACTGTGTAAGAAGAACAGAAAAAGACACAAGGGTAGGCAGAAAGAAATGAGTTTTTTCTTGGAGCTGTTGAATCAGATCTTCTATTTTCTGAAACAATTTTACAATAAATCCTTATAACAAGAGACATTTGCCATACTAGATCAATAAAAAATTTTCAATAAACAATATATATATATAATTTTGTTTATATATTATGTATATATATATAATTTTCAAGACAGGGTTTCTCTGTGTAGCCCTGACTGTTATGGAACTCTCTCTGTAGACCAGGCTGGCCTTGAAGTCACAGAGACCTGCCTGCCTCTGCCTCCTAAGTGCTGGAATTAAAGGTGTGCACCACCACCGCCAGACTTAAAATTTTGTTTTTAATTTTCCACATGATATTGATCAATTTTAAGAAAAGTATGCAATATAAATTTTAGTGCAAAACCAATCCATAAATAATAGAAGTAAATTTTTCATTTTTATTCCATCATGTATTATTATTATTCAAAGTGTGTTTTTGCATCTACTTCATTTTCAAGCAAACTCAAATGTTTTGAATAAACCAAAATGACAAACAAAAATGCCATACATTCCTCAACTGACTCACAACAATGTGTTTTAATTAAATAAAAACTCATGCCAATAAACTTGCTTATTTTGCCCCATTTTGTCATATACAGCGTACCTTCTTTGTTTCGTTTGGTTTTGTTTTTTGAGACAAGGTTTCTCTGTAGCTTTGGAACTAGCTCTTGAAGACGAGGCTGGCCTTGAATTCACAAAGATCCATCTGCTTCTCCCTCCTGATTAAAGGTGTGTGCCACCATCACCACCGCCCTGCTCAAGCATACCTTATTCTTAAATGCTAAAACAAGAATGTTCCCAAATACACAATGTTCTACTCTAATTTGGCAAAGACCACACACCTAGCCAGTTTCTTTCAAGTCATCAGTAGGGTACCAAGGGATTTTTTTTTTCATGACAAAGCTTAATAGGGCTTATAAATTATGCATAAATAGACAGTATTGTCTTTTCCCACGGATGCATGGGAGAGTCTCTAGAACCAGATGGTTATCACAAAGAGAGCTCAGGAGACAGTCACAGACCGTAGTAGGCTTTCTCTTTTGTCCCTCGACTTCAGCACACACACCGCTGCTACCCATGTTCTCCCCAGGCAGCAGACAACGGTACTCAAAAGCTGTGGTGGAAGGGTGTCACCCCAATAGAAGACCGTGTGCTGGTTCACCGCAGCATGGAGAGTTCTGCGGAGGCCTTAGGTGTAAGCAGGAATCTATACATGGGCCTGAGGCATCATAGACCTCACTAGGACGCTGGAAGTCTTCTCAAACACGCTCATTTTAGGCAGTTGCACGTAAAGGGCTGAGTTCCCTGCTCTTGATTCCTCTCCACGCTACCCACCCACCACCCTAACCCCACCAAAGCTGAAGCAACCAGTTAGCAGGATATCAGCCTGAATCCGGTTCACCTCTTTCTGGCTGCCGCCTCTAAACTCGGAGCGATCCCCGTTTTTGAACTAGCCGGTGTCAGAGCGGATCTGCCACCTGAAGCAGCGCACTTTCTCAGTCCTATGAACTTCCGGGCAAGCTGAGAAGCTCCTGCTATCCGTGGCCACTCAAGGGGAAATCATTTCAATTCCGTTCCGAGTCCAGTTGGTTGAGCCGCTTTACGATCATGCTGTTGATTTTCTTAAGGTCGTCTATGTCCCTTCCCTCAGCCATCAGTCTTCTTGACACGTCGTCCATCTGGTTTCCTGTCTGAACTTCAAACGGAAAGCCGACTGTTAGAGCAGGGCCAGCAGAGGGAGCCCCGTGAGTGCTGAGCATCAGCGAATCCGCAAGCCTGATGGAAACTTAGTTCTCAGTGTCGTTTCCAGGACCTTTCTCAGAAATGGCTTTCTCTGTTATCTGGAAAATGACATTCTCTGGGCCCCAACACCTACCTCTGCCTCTATACACATGAACATGGAAACACACAAACATACACACACATACGTACACACTCACATAAAACATAATGAGATTAACATGTCTGACCCAGGGTGCTCACTTGAGCAACAAAAATATACATTTTTTTTTTAAATCTCAAGTTGGCCTTGAACTCATGTTTCCCCGTCTCTCGTCTGCCAAGCTTTGGGGTTACAAGCGTGTGCCCTCCCATCCATCTTAAAGACACTCTCAGTCCCTCACCTCGCGTCCTGGCCTCAACGTAAAACACTTGAGAAGAGCATGGTTCACAACCCCAGCACTCAGGAAGCGGATGGGAGCAGATTCCACACACCAGGAGAACCAGTGAGACCACATCAAAACCCAAAGCAGTTAGTGGCACACACCTTTAATTCCAGCACTTGGGAGACAGAGGCAGGCAGATCTCTGTGAATTCAAGGCTAACCTGGTCTACAGAGTTCCAGGACAGGCTCCAAAGCTACACAGAGAAACCCTGTCGGGGGGGGGGGGGGGGGGGGGGGGGGCAAAGTAAAGTGAAAACAAACATTTGAGGCAAATACTAAATAATTTCTTTTTGTTTTATCTATTATGACACTATCATTGTTTAATAAAGAGCTGCATGACCAATAGCTAGGCAGGAAGAGGTTAGGTGGGATTTCTGGGGACAGAGAGGACTCAGAGAGGAAGAAAGGTGGGGTCTCGAGACGGACATGGAGGAAGCAGCAGGAGCAGCACAGAGAGATGAGATAACGAGCCATGTGACAGAACGTAGGTGAAAATAAATGGCTTAATTAAGTTTAAGAGCTAGTTGGGCACAAGACTAAGCTATAGACTGAACTTTCATAATTAATAAGAAGTTTGGGAGCTGGTCAGAGAAAGACTCGTTACACACCTCCAGGGATGTACCAGCTCTATCATGCTCCACCTAAACATCTCCAAACGGTCCACCACGGGGAAGTTCCAAGCTGTCACCCATGCTGGAGCGGGCTTCCCTGTGACGCAAGCTGCTGCAGAGGTACTCGCGTTTGAACACTTGCTCCACTGGCGGGCTGTTTAGAGATGTAAACACGTCTTCTCACAGTATAAAGGAATATTCTGCAATGGGAGGGCGGGGAGCTGAGAGTTTACATTCTCTTTCCAACTCCAGCTCCCTCTCATTTCTGGTGAAAGATGTCATCTCTCAGATCCCTGCTCCTGCCACCATGCCTCCCCAGCATGATGGACGGTTACCCCTCTGATACTTAGTATCCCAAGGGCACCTTATTGCTCCTGGACAGGGTCCTTGGGCATGAGTCCATGGCATGCTCCCTCAATGCTAGGTCTCATTTGGGTACTACCCTAGAGGGGTGATCAAAATTGAAGAAGACTCTACTGCGTATCTCCCTCGTGGCCTTTTAGAGACCACCCCCCCTTTAAGTTGTCTTTTGTTGTGTGTTCTAGCAGAACAGCAGAAAAGCAACTGCCACACCTTTGCTACACAGTGGCACAGACAATCCCAGTAAACTCCTTGCTCACCAGCTGAGCCGGACTACAGTCAGCTCTTTGGTCTATCTGGGTGGGGCGAATAGACATTTTTTTCTTGTCCCCACAGAAAAAAATTGCACAATTCCCCTTCTTTCACACCCAGCCTCAGACGCCGAAAGGAGTCTTCTCACAACTAACACCTCCACCTCCTCTGCTCCAAAAGGGTCTTAAATAAGAAGCATTGCAAAGACGTGGAGTTTTGTCTCTCATTTAAAATGGCTGAAGGTAAGGCAGGCGTGGCGGTGCAGGCGTGCAATCCCAGAGCTCAAGAGGGTGGGACAGAGGATCTCAAATTCAAGGCCAACCTTGGCTAAGTAGTGAAATCCTATCTCAAAAAGAAAAAAAAAATGTCAGATACCACAAGCAAGCAGAAATGACCGGAGGGAAGAAATAAGCTACCAGTCCAAATGGTGTTAAACAGAATACCTTCTCTGGGGCTGGAGAAGGGACTCGGTGGTTAAGAGTTAAGGTTGCCCTTTCAGAGGACCCAGGTTCAATTCTCAGCACTCATATGGCACCTTACAACTGTCTGTAACTCCAGTTCACATGATCTGATGCCTTCACACAGACATACATGACATGAAATAAAAATTGAGGAAAAAAAAGTAAGACCCTCCCTATCCCCTGTTGCTTATAGCTTTCTGTGATATGGGAGAAAGTAGCAATAACTCCAGATAATAGTATAAAAGGGTCGTCTGAGAGAGAATTGTGGTGGCTCTGATGGAGGAGTGCATGCATGCACGCACACACGCATGCACGCACACACACATGCACGCACACACGCATGCACACACATCGCAAAGAGGCAGCTCATCTCGTGCTCTCCAAAGCAAACAGGAGGCTGACATGAATCTGCTTAGGGGTCTCCGCACTGAGGAGCAGATGTGGGAAAGACTCCTTGTCACCAATTAAGGGCATGACATGTATCTCCCAGTCTAAGAGCAGACACGACAGGAACCAGCACCAAACAGGGAAGAAGTGGCCTGCCCTCGCTCCCTCAGGACTGACTCTGGCGATTAGCCTGAGCCCTTGCTGCTCTGAACTGACCTCTGGGGTGATACACAAATGAGAAACCATGAGGGGAAGTGTAAAACCTCAGGAAATGTATGCTATGTCTAAATGTAATGAAGACATAGACGTACAGAGTACAGAAAACTAAAATTAAGCAGGGTAAGTTGTGTACAGCTTGGAGCAAATTTAAAGCTTATATAAATATGTAACAGAAACGACCTGACCTTGTGGGAGCACGCTGTGGACTTGTGCCCAAGGACCCTGTCCGGGAGTAACAAGGTGCCATTGGGACACTGGGTTTCCCCCAGGCTTTTGCTGAAAACCGATGGCCAGAAAGTGCTTGCTCGCTCAAGCAGCAGCAGCTAGCTATGAAGTCAGCTACGAAGGACACACACACAAATAGAGACAAGCCTGCCTGAAGTACTCACTTATTAGGAAGATGGCAAAGAACACCAGAGCTAGGCTGACCGTCAACATCAGGAGCAGTCCCACAAAGAACAGACCGCGTCTTCCACTTCCTGGGTGCGTAGCAGTGTTTGAGATTTTCTCCTCTAACGCTAATAAGAGAGAACGCGACAGAATCTCAGAACCAGACAGAGAGATGTAGTGGCACCCTTTTTCCCTGGACAGCCCTGGGATGCGACTTCTGCATTAGGGGTGCCTTTGGAAGAGCGATTTTGGAACTGTTTATCTTTCCTGTTAGAATTGAGAGAATGAGTAGGCTTCGGCTATGTCCTTGGACATGTGTGGAAGGATCTTTGCAAACTGTTAACTGTGGAGTAGAGCGGCTTGAATTATTCTTTGGAGAAGGAATAGAAAATTAGTGGGAACTCGACTGCCCATCCCCTAAGTGATCTTAATGGAGCTGTGTAGGATGCCTTCCCTGTGTGGAAGACCAAACACTGTGTGGCATCTCTCAGGAAATTGCTTTTATTATCAGAATAATCACTTAGGTCTGTATCCATTAGACAAGAAGAGCCCCTGGGGTGTTTGGTTTCTTAAAGCTATTTCCAAGATAGATTTGCTCTAGGGGTGAGGCTCTCTTCTCAGCACCTGGTGCTGGGAATTGCCTCTCATTAGCTACTTTGTAACTCTTAGGTGCCTAATAATGCTCAGATAAAGTTGAATAAGAGCTGCGAGCCCCTGGGGTAGGGAGATTGCTGGATTACATTTTATATACTCCTCCTCTCTGAATTGGTCCCACGCATTACACTGCTTGATTATGGAACCAAGTACATCTCTTGTTCCATCCTCTCCACAGCTTCAGCCTCCTCAGCAAAGCCACACCACAGGCTGACAGCAACGCTCACTGTGATAAACAGATGAGGATCTGAACGAGTTGAAACAAGGACAAAAGGAAGAACTTGGAAAAGACAGAGGGGAATGACGGGTAGAAAACTAAACAATTTCGAGCGTTTGTGAAGCAAACAGCAAGTGGTCATTAACACTGTGTTCGAATACTCATCAGTTAAACTAGAAAGGTTCGGGCCCTGGGAGCCTGAGAGGCCGCTTTCCAACACTTAGGGTGCAAGATACACTTTGTGTTCAGGAGATTTTCGTTTTGCTCTCACGTCCCTTCTAACACTTTAATTGGGCAGTTTGTAATCAGTAAGTAGAAAAGGAAGTTGGCTCTTTGCACATCAGAACAATAACGATTTTATTTATAAACTAGTAAGTGTGTTGAACAATGTTCTCAGCATTCTCTGCTAACACAAGGCCCCTGGGAAGCGGAGAATATAATGAACCTAACCATGGTCACCAAGAGGCGCAAAAGCTAAGAGGGGCTGAGCAGGTCCTGGGAGGCCAGCTCTGCAGACTCCACCCTGCCCGGTGACAACAACACTGTAGGGGTCTTCCCCAGGAGTTTTAAAGGGAAAATCAGGACATGAGTGGGTGCCTACTAAGGGACTGCTACCAGGTACTACCTCTCATAGCCCAGGCTGACCTGAAACGTGTCATCCTCCTGCCTCACCCTTCCCCGTGCTGGAATTACAAGTGTGGGCTAGCGTGCCTGTCTTCTCTTGGGAATTTTTAAGTGTTCAGATCTTGCCAAGAAAGCCAATAATCCTTTGAAAGATTGAGAGTATAAAACAAAAGACTGTTTAAACAGCATTTCTAGGGCTTAGGGATTGCTGAAGACCGCCCTGCCCCCACCACAGGAAACACATCCAACTGTGTTCTTGATGTTTTTAGGAAGTCCCAAAGCCGTGGCAGCCTGAAACACTTCCAGGATCATACATACGGAATAGACGTTGTGATTCTGTCGGACAGAGATTGAGTTTGTTCAAGTCATTTATGGAATCCACAACATAGAGTTTTCCTTCTTCATGGATGCCGTGAGGTCCAACATCCCGGGAGGAGTGAGTCATTGTCCCTGAAAGAAAACGCCACCATCAGGAAGAAGAGGCACAAGCCAGAGCATCAGGAAGACGGGCTGACATAGAAGCCACTGTCAACAAATGCTGTGCTAGGGTCTAAAAGGGCTGTGGTTAGGAGGACATATGTCCTCGGTGGGCCACTGTAGCAGCTGTTCTTTGGCCTCCGCTTGCCAGACTCGAAGGTGTGGTTAGCATCCAGCAGCTCTTACGTGTGTATCCGCTATGTTCCCTCCTCCTGGGCTTCCAACTTGCCTCTCATTTTCCCTGGGTCCGATTTTTACCTCATAATTGCCTTTCAAGGGGTGTCTCTCTTATCAGATGGTTCTTAGTTCGACATGCTTCAAGTCCTTTGTGCAAAAACACTACTTAACAATTATAAAGACAAAGCAAGCTAGCCAACAAACGACCATAAAGACGGGCAGACAGACCTATGGACAGCCACAAGCCCTTCTACGTTTCTAATTGAACACAAAATTGCAGTCTTGGGGCCTGGCAAGATAACAGTACTTGCCACCGAGCCTGACCTGAACTGATTTCTGAGTTCCGTCTCAGAAATCCCTGTGGTGAGAGGAAAGACTGGAAGAGACAAGCTGTCCTCTGGCCTCTGCATGCACAGCACAGTACTCGGGCATTTCTCCTGCATAGCATAAATATTGGAAAAATATTAATGGTCATGTTTGTGTTTTCTTCAGTTTGGCATGAGTCCTGGCCCTCGGACGTATCTTAGCCATGAGGTGCTTGTTGTGGCTTTGTAGGACAAAACCTTAGCAAATACAGGCACTAAAGGAAGGATCTGCCACCAGGCTGGGCATGGTGGTGCACCTCTTTAATTCCAGCACTCGAGAAGCAGAGGCAGGCAGGTCTCTGTGAGTTCAAGGTCAACCTGGTCTATAAAGCCCAGGTCAACCAGGGCTCTTACACAGATATGATTATTATTTTTATTTTCTCTGCCTTTTTATTGATTCTTTTGCTTGCTTGTGTGTATGTGCAGCATATGCCTGGTGCCCAGGAAGCCTGAAAAGGCAGCTGGTTTCCGGGAACTAGAGTCAGGGACAGCTGTGAACTACACTGTGCGGGCTGGTTAGATCTGAACCCAGGTCCTGAAAAGGTAGCTGGTTTCCGGGAACTAGAGTCAGGGACAGCTGTGAACTACACTGTGCGGGCTGGTTAGATCTGAACCCAGGTCCTCTGCAAGAGTAGCAAGTGCTCTAACAGCCGAGCCATCTCTCCGGTCCTTAAAGTCAGCAATGTACAGCCCTGGCTAGCCTGGAGCTTTCTCTGTAGGTCAGGCTGGCCTTGAACTCACAGAGATCCACCTGCCTCTGCCTCTGGAGTGCTGAGATTGAAGCGTGTTCCACCACCGCCCAACAAGAGAGGAATCTTGATAGTTCTGGAGCCTGATCTCTCTATCTGGCTTCTGAGAAACTGAGATCACTTATGTAACAAATACTTTTCCACCTGAGGTTTATGTGCAAATATTCTTTCACAAGAGCACACTTCCCCGCTGAAAACTCTGAGCAGACTGGGCAAGTCGGCAGCAATGCCGCTTTGATGCATGGCTGAGAAGTCTGCAGCAATGCCGCTTTGATGCATGGCTGAGAAGTCTGCAGCAATGCCGCTTTGATGCATGGCTGAGAAGAGGGTATTTCAGTGACAAAATGCTTGCTGCACAAGCATGAGGTCCTGATGTCACATCTGAGCATATAGAAACTAGGTGCAGTGGTGCAGTCCACAGCCCCAGGATGGGGGTGGAGGAGACAAGCAGATCAGAGGGGTTCACTGGCCGGCCAATCTAACCAAAGTGGTGACCTCCAGGGTGAGAGAGACCCTGTCCCAAACATAATGTGAAGAGTGAGAGAGGAAGACAATTGACATTGACCTCCTGCCTATATCAGCGTGTGTGTGTGCGCGCGCACATACACACACACACACACACACACCACACACACAGAGCACACACACACACACACATACCACACACACAGAGCACACACATATACATCACACATACACACCATACACACAAATACCACACACATACACGTGCACAATCTAATATAAGAGATCTTGGGCCATTGAATGATGTGAAGAAAAGTCTTCCAAAACTTAATTTAATGACTAAGAAAGCTTTTGTCTTTTTCTTTCCATAAAGTGAGTTAGTGGGTGATATAAGGCCTGAGGTCTAGAAGGCATTTTAGAAAGTCAAAGCAGAGGATAGAGATGGTTCAGGTGGTCTGAGTGTGTACTGCCCTCCGAGTTCAGTTCTTAGTGCCAAAGTCTGGCGGCTCACAACCACCTGTAAGTACAGCTCCCTCTTCTGGCCTTCGCAGGCACCTGCACTCACGTGCACATACTTAGACACACAAACACATAATTAAAATAATTCTAAGAGGGAGCAGGAGGTTGTAAATGTTGTGCCTGCTGTAGGTGGCAACAGATTTCTTCCTGATACCATTCTTCGAAAAGATTTCTTTCAAGACCCAACCACTGAATGAAAATAACCATAGAGATGGGAGAAACCAAATGGGGGGAAGGTGCTAATACAGCCATAGAGAATCTGGGGGGGGGGGGGAAGTATCACACACTTAAACTACACTATTAAAAGTCAAAAAACCTCAGGGCTGGAGAAATGGCTCGGCTATTAGGGAAGCTTGCTGCTCTTCCGGAGGACCTGCATTTGGTTCCCAGCACTGTGATCAGGCAGCTCACAGCACCTTTTGTTGAAATAGGAGCAGCGGGGCTGTGTCCCGCCATCCGGCTGCCTGCACAGCTAGCTTTATACCCGAAATAATTACATGGAAACTGTATTCTTTTAAACATTGCCTGGCCCATTAGTTCCAGCCTCTTATTGGCTAGCTCTTACATATCGATCTAACCCATTTCTAATATCCCTATAACACCACAAGGTGTCTTACCAGGGAAGATCTTAACCTGCATCTGTGTCCGGTAGGAGAATCATGGTGACTCCTTGACTCAGCTTCTTTCTCCCAGCATTCTGTTCTGTTTACTCCGCCTACCTAATTTTATGTCCTATTAAAGGGCCAAGGCAGTCTCTTTATTTAACCAATGAAATTAACACAAGCCAGAAGACTCTCCCCCATCAACCTTTAACTCCAGCTCCAAGGGATCTGGCCTCCTCCTCTAGCCTCTGTGAGCACCTACACACATGTGGCTTACACACACACACACACACACACACACACACACACCACACACACACTAATAATAATAATAAATAATAATAAATAAAAAATGTCAGAGCTGGAGAGATGGCTCGGAGGCTAAGAGCATTGACTGCTCTTCCAGAGGTGCTGAGTTCAATTCCCAGCAACCACATGGTGGCTCACAACCACCTATGAGATCTGATGGCCTCGTCTAACATTATATACATAATAAATAAATAAATGTTTAAATTTTTTTTTAAAAAAATGTCGTGATTTGCCCAGTGGCACCTACCGTGTCCGTGGATCCCTAGCTAAGAAGCACCCTATGCTCAGAAAGTCGTGCACTACTTGTAGCTTCCGTCTTCCTGAATTTTTAATTGGGAAGAATGCACAGTGCTCTGCATGCATTGAGACAATGCCAAGCATGCTAAATATTGAAATGATAGAATTTCAAGTATATTCCATGGAGTGATCCTAAGGGAATGATTGACGGGATACAACTGAAGGCAAAAGCACAGCAACCAGGGGTTGCTTTAGCTAGCAAACCTCACCTCTGCAGATGAGCCGCCAAGTGTTGATGGCTGCCTAGGCACCTGCAGCTCAGCCATCCTTCTACAGGAGTTTTCTGTCTCATAAGCTCTGTAGACCTTATTATCCCAAACATTATTTTTTTCTTTTGCACCAGGAAAATAAAAGCTGTATGTGTCTGGTGTTGGGGTCATTGCTGCAAACACAGCTTCGTATGTGTCTGGTGGTGGGATCATTGCTTCAAACACAGCTTCGTATGTGTCAGGTGGTGGGATCGTTGCTGCAAACACAGCTTCTATTCTGGGCATGGTAACGGAGACACAGTTCATTTCTGAGTCTGACTTAATATCCTCAAGCTCCAATTTCACCCTCTGGAATGTCACTGCTGTTGCAAAATACAACAACAACAACAAACAAGCAAGCAAAGAAAACTGCATACAAAGGAGAGGACCACAGCTAGAAAAATCATTGCTAAAAAGTCCTATTTTCAGAGTAACAGTCCAGCTAATAAAATTTACTAGCCTTGCCGCAGACTGAGAAAGTGATGCCAAGAAATGCAAGGGACGGAGAGACAGAAGGCACTAAGCCTTGTAGCCCAGATTCAATCGCCTTCATCTGGTTCCATGAGAAAGGACTCCTGCAAGTTTGCAGGTTGTCCTCTGACCTCCACGTGAGCATGTACCCGCCCCCAACAACATGATCATAACTTAAAATAAAATCTGTAATAAATTTGTAAGGATTTTTTTTTTAGCTAAGACAACCCAAGTAAATAATGGGTTGCAAGAAAATCTTTACAGTGAGCTCGAGCCCACAACGTCAGTAGATGTATTTCAATATACCTTCTCAGCACTGCGCCATGGAAGAAGACAAACTAGTGAGGAAAACAGAGCTAGGGGACGCAGGGCTCCTGAGTGACTCTGCTGGCAAATGGTCACATGTCTTGAAAACCAGAACCCACAGCTGTTGACCCCGCGGTTGCTATCTTTGGCAGCTGGAACCAGGGCAATCGGGAGCAACCAGCAAGGCCAGCGCAGAGTGTCATTACCCATCGGGTGTCACACTAACCTGGCCCTCCTGTGCCACCCCACCGCGCAGATCTACTGACTCACCGATGGTCAAAGCAGCAGCCTTTCATGGAAGCCTTTCTAATCCTGAGGCTGAGCCGCGTAAGTAATCTCGTTTTCCTGTGCTCTTGGTCACGGCTAACAGCTGAGCCTTTTGCCATTTAATAGCTGCTTGATTTTTGACCAATAGATATTTTGGCAAATGAAAATAGTCTCTGAAAAAAACAAGAATCTG